AGAGGTAGCAATGTAAGGACTTAAACAAATGAGGAAACCCATCTTTCTGACAAGGGAAGTGGTAAGAGGTACCCACCTCTCGGGAAAAATGACGGCACTTTTGGCTTCCAGACCCCAGCACCGTTGGTGTAAGCTGTGATGTTGGGATAAAGCTTCACTGTGGAAATACCCACAGTATATGTGGGCAGTGCTTCTGTTCACCTAACCTGTTTGTTGGTGTCCTGGAGATTCTGTGAGTTTCCAAAATTTTTTCCTGATTATGTTAGCTACAGTGGATTCTGTGGGTTGCAACTAAGAATTACATATAATACAAAAAAAAAAGAATCTGGGCTAAATAAACCTTCATCATTTGATAAAATGATAGCAGAATGATTATCAATTCAATAGTAACCTCAATAGTAATCTACAAAGAGTGTGGTACTGAGCTAGAGGCTGTACAGGAACAGCAAAGGATGTTACATTTAAGCCATGTAAACACATGGGCATATAGATACAAAATAAAGTTAAACGAAATTTAGAAAATATGGAAGCATCTATGTAGTGACTGTAAAAATGCAACAGCATATTGGATATGCTGATAAGGATGAAAAACTTTTATTGACATATTTTTTAAATGTTCACTGGGTTTGAGGTATATCTATCATGTTGCTAAAGAAATTAAATATACTTTTTATAACTTAAAAGTCAGCAATGCGGGTAAAAATATTTGCAAATCATATATCTAATAAGACATTAAGATCCAGAATATATAAAGCCTACAATTCAACAACAACAACAAAAAGAAAATTCCAAAATGGGCAAAGGACTTGAAAAGGCACTTCTCTGTATTGAAGAATACAAATGACTAACAGGCACATGAAAAGATGCTCAACAACCGGGCACAGTGTCTCATACCTGTAATCCCAGCACTTTGGGAGGCCAAGGTGGGTGGATCACCTGACGTCAGGAGTTCAAGACCAGCCTGGCCAACATGGTGAAACCCCATCTCTACTAAAAATACAAAAAATTAGCTGGGCATGGTGGCAGGGACCTGTAATCCCAGCTGCTCGGGAGACTAAGGCAGGAGAATCGCTTGAACCCGGAACACAGAGGTTGCAGTGAACCAAGATCACGCCATTGCACTCCAGCCTACGCAAGAAGAGTGAAACTACATCTCAAAAAAAAAGTAAAAGAAAGAAAAAGAAAAGATGTTCAACATCTTTAGTTATTAAGAAAATGCAAATCAAAACCACAATGGGATATGATTTCATATCCATCAGAACGGCTATGATTTTTTAAAAATGGAATAACAAGTGGAGAATATGGAGATGGAGGCAACAGAGTGCTCATGCAATGGGAAATTTAATGGGAAATTGTGCCGCTGCTGTGGAAAACAGTCTGGTGGTTCCTCAAGAGTTAAACAGAATTATCATATGATCCAGCAATTCCACTGCTAGGTCTATACCCCAAAACTTAAAAAGTAAGGACTCAGCCGGGCGCGGTGGCTCACGCCTGTAATCCCAGCACTTTGGGAGGCCGAGGCGGGCGGATCACAAGGTCAGGAGATCGAGACCACAGTGAAACCCCGTCTCTACTAAAAATACAAAAAATTAGCCAGGCGCGGTTGTGGGCGCCTGTAGTCCCAGCTACTCGGGAGGCTGAGGCAGGAGAATGGCGTGAACCCGGGAGGCGGAGCTTGCAGTGAGCCGAGATCGAGCCACTGCACTCCAGCCTGGGCGACAGAGCGAGACTCCGTCTCAAAAAAAAAAAAAAAAAAAAGTAAGGACTGAAACAATACTTACATACCAATATCCAAAGCAGCACTATTCACAATGGTCAACAGGTAACTGATACAACTCAAGTGTCTATGAACAGATGAATGCATACACAAAATTGTACAGATACACAATGGAATATTATTCAACCACAAAAACAATTGAGATATTGATACAGAATACAAAATAAATGAATCTTGAAAGCATTATTCTAAGTGAAATAAGCCAGACACAAAAGGACAAATGTTGTATTATTCTACTTATGTGTGGTACACAGAGCAGACAAGTTCATAAAGACAAAGTAGAATCAAGGTTACCAGGGACTTGAGGGAAAGGGAATTCGGAGTTTTTGTTTAATAGGTACAGAGCTCTGTTTGAGATGATTAAAACGTTTTAGAAACGAACAAGGGTGATGGTAGGACAACACTGTGAATGTACTTAATGCCATTGAACTATACACTTAAAAATAGTTCAAATGATACATTCCATGTTGTGTTTTACCACAATAAAAAAAAATTCCATTATGAACCTTATCTAGAAATCAGTCAAAACTGAAGTTCAATATTATTCCTTTTGCGCTGCTTGCTATATTATTTAACGTATAGATCCAAGGAAGTTAGTAGATCTAACCAGAACAATGGCAACATAGCATGGTCAAAAGGTCAGGTAGGTAGACCTAGGTTAGAATACAGGTTCTACCACTAATTAGTTTATTACATACTTAAAAAAGGACCTGAATTTAAAAGATCCCTAATAAAGAGTAGAGTTAGCTGCTGTTATTAGTCTTTATTATTATATTTAAAAACACCTGGAAAGGAGCAATGCATTTTATTACAGATAAATTTTAAACTTTAGTACACCAAATAAGTGAACACTGGAAGGCAAACGAGTGAGGAAAAATATGTGTATCAATATGATTAAGAGTCTATCCCTAATATGCAGACTTCCACCCAAAAGATGAGAGCAGAGAGGAACAGGGAGCTAGGAAAGTTGCTTTGGATCACAGGGTGGGCCAGGGAAGGCCAACACACGAACTAAGACATGAAATGTGAAATGAAGCTGGAGTGAAAAAGTCTGGGGTTAGGGAGCACTCTGGATGAGGCAACAGCAAAAGCAAAGGCCAGAACGTCGAGGAACTTTGAGGGTTTGAGGAGTAGAGAGAAAGAAAACCAATGAGCCTCGACAAGAGAGGCTGAGGAAAGAATTCAGGGAATAGTTTAATTAGAATTTCAGCTTTGGATGTTGACGGTGAAGCGGGATGCTGAGGGAGAGTGGCGGATAAAATTGAAGAGGAGACACAAGCCAGAACTCACAAGCCTGTTAAGAAGATGGGACTGTGATTCCAACCTCAGAGGGAACCATTTAAGCAGCGAAGTAAAATGATCTGGTTTACTCTACAATGATCATTCTGCCTGCTAGAAGGAAAACAGATGGATTAGGGAGGCAGAACGGAAGGAAGGAGAGAAGCTGGGAAGCTAGGTTAATAATTTAAATTAGAGAACATAATAGCTTAGATTCACAACAGTAGCACTGGCAATCGAAAAATGTGTACAAATTCACGTTGCACTGGCTAATAGGACAGAAGATATTTTACTCTTTCATTAATCCCAAACAGTAACTTAAAATTACACAATTTCCCCCAACAAATTAGCAAGGATTAAAAATTGATAATACAAAATCTCTGAAAAGCAATCTGCTATCCTCTCTCTCAAAAGCCTGAAAAATTCTCATAGTTTTTCACTTAGTAACTAGCACACAGTTAAGTCTTACTGTTGAATTAATTCATTCCAACAGTTAGGAAACATGCTTAAAGAGAAAATCGGCGTTATACTCAAGAATGTAACTGTAGCACATTGTACTTGCAAAAACTTGAAGAATTATCTAAATATTCCACACTTAAGGAGTGGTTGAATTACAGCTTAGGATAAAGTACTAAACAATTCATTAAGGAGTTTCAAGACGTGGGAAAACGCGGACAGTATATCACTTTAGACAATTAACAAAGAGTAAATAGTACTAGAGCTTTGTTTCGATGCTGTTAAGTTTTAATATGAGAAATAAAGATAGCCAGCAAATAAGTACTAAAAACTTGATCATTAACCTAGTCTAGAATTGAAACTCAATAAATCTGCTCAAAAAAGTTATATGCTAAACCCATTAAATATTGTCTGTATCTTACAGTTAGTCTCTTGTTAGCCTTGGTTCTAAATAAGGAAGCAGGGGAGCTTCAGTTTGGTGGTTGTCTTAGTAATTTAAGAATAAACATGCACCTTCAAAGCCTGTTTGTCACTCTGTATCCCCAGCTCCTAGCACAAAATCTGGCACAGAATAGGAGCTCAATAAATAATTTTGAGGGACTATCACCAAAAGTAAACCTTTCAGTTCCAACTCAGCACGAAAGAAATCAGAAACCTCAAAATCAAAGACGTGCATCAAAAGTAATAGTTTGCTTGATAATATCTCTTGATGTCGTTTTAAAGTAATAGTGATAACAATGTATAATACTTGGAGTGGCTACAATGTATCAGGCACTAACAAGCACTTGACAGACTTTAATCCTTATAATCATCATTCTCTTTTAAAACCAGGAAACAGGTCCATCACAGTTCACTAACTAGCCCAACGTCACACTGCCACCAAGCTGGAACTCAGTTCTTTGGCATCTAAACGCAGAACTATAGAAGACACGTTTCTTTCCGACGATCAGACTTCCAAGTTCTCCAAGCTTCCTCTACCGTCCTATTTAGCATTCGCAAACTTCTACCTTTAATTGTAGCTATTACCCCTTCCAAGATCCATCTCTCACCAGGGGAGCCCCTGCTAGCTCACTCCCTCCCTCCCAGCTGGGAAGTCCCCCAGGATGAAGGACCGAGTCTCCATGCTTCTCGGTGGCTGCACACTTAGAATGGGGGCTTGGCACCAGGCGGGGAGCTCGCCCCTTTGATACCCTTTGAGTTTGATTTACTGCCTTGCGAATCCCAACTCCCAAATGAGCCCTTGGAGGCGCCGTGTGCGGCCCCTCGGACCAGACTCGGCGCCAGAAGGGAGTCGGCGTCTGGAGGGGTGGACAGGGCGGCGCGCAGGAGCGGTTTCCAAGACAACCGAAGGCCGCCCCACAGTCCGCCCCACAGTGTCCACCCCACAGCGTCAGCCCCTAGCGTCTCGCCGCTCCGCCCCTTCCCGGCGCCGGTGCTCCGACCAGCCCCCGTGAGCGAATATGGACAGGGGTGCTCGATGGGCTCTCACCTCTCAGCGCGTGGTGCATGCCGCCCACGCCGCTGTACAGCTCCAGCACCCGCAGGGGCTCCATCCCCGCGCCTCAGCCGCTGCAGCCCCGGAGCTAGGCCTGCCGGTCCGTCGCTCCTCCTCCCTCGATCGCACCGCTCCCTCAGCCTCTGGTTCCGCAGCGTTTCAGTTCCCCCTTCTCCTGCGGCTCCAGGCTGAGGGCTTCAGAGGGCCGCGCGGCCTGGGGGTTGGCAGGGGTCGAGAGGGGAACAAAGAACGGAAAACAATAAGGCTTCCCGAATGAATGGCAGCCACTCTGTAGCCTGATTTACGCTCCATTTCCTTCTTTGGTGTCAGGGGCCTTGAGTGGAAAAGAAATCCAGAGTTCAGTAAAGGGGAGAAAACTGCCTTGGTTTCTAAGTGAATTAACACTGGTTAGAAGCCAGAAAAAAAATCATTTTTCAGGCAAGCTGCTTTTCTGTCACTTAGAAGCCTGAACATTCAAACATTCTTTCCACAGTGTGCCTTGTGTCCTTCCTGCCCTGGGTCGATAGAGATAAATCAGACCAGCCTCTCTCCTAGAGAAGGTTCCAGAATTACAAGTAAGGACACAGGTCCACTAGCAGCAGAGAAAAACCTGTGTGCGTGCCAATAATACAGAGGATGTTTGTTGTGTCTATTAGTGCGGTTAATTATGTTTTAGCTTGGAAGTTTCACCTACATAGAATACACAGTGAATATCATGTAGGATTATTCATGGGTCTTTAAGTGATAAGGCCTTGATTCCTCAGGATGGTCCAGTAACCAATTGTTAGAGGCTCATGTTGACGAAAAAAGACAAACTCCGTAAAATGTTTGAAGAGGTTTGTTCTGAGCCCAAGGTGAGGACGGTGACCCATGACACAACCCCAGGGGGTCCTGAGAACATGTGCCCAAGGTGGTTGGGCTACAGCTTGGATTTATATGGTTTTAGGGAGACATAAGGATGTTAATCAGTATATGCAAGGTGTACTTAGTTTGGTCCATAAAGATGGGATAACTCAAAAAGGGGAAGGATTCCAGGTCACAGGTGGATTCAAAGATTTTCTGACTGGCGATTGATTGAAAGAGTTAAGTTGTGACCTAAAGACCCGGAATCAACAGAAAGGAATGTGTCTGGATTAAGATAAGGTGGAGACCAAGGTTCTTATTATGTAGATGAAGTCTCATAGGTAACAGGCTTCAGAGAGAATAATTGGCAAATGCCTCTTATCACATGTAAAAAGATGCCAGACTCTTAGTTAAATCTCTCTTGGATCAGGAAAAGACCTGGAAAGGAAAAGGGAGTCTCTATAGAATGTAGATTTACCCCACAAGAGATGGCTGTGCAGGGCGATTTCAAAATATGTCAAATAAATTTATTTTAGGGTCAAATGCTTTGATTTACGGCCTGCTATCTTTCATATGGTGCTTTACTAGAGTCAAGTTGGAATTTTGGTATCTTATTGCTAAGAAGAGTCTGTTTTGTCAGTATGAAGATCTCTTGTTTTAATATTAATGATCAATTGTGCCTGAACTCCAAAGAGAGGAGAGTATAATGAGGCATGTCATGCTTCCCTTTCCCATCATAGCCTGAACTAGTTTTTCAGGATTCTTTGGAATCTGCTTGGTGGAGGCGTTCACTCAGTCAGTTGGGGGGAGCTTAGAAATTTGGGGGGGGGTGCTTATAGTCACTTATAAATGAAAATAATGTACCCATATGGAAGATAGAAAATGTTCCCATTGTGAAGTGCTCTTCAGTTTGTTCCCAACACTGCCACAGGTTTTCGTTAGGGGGAACTTGGGGGGTACCACTTGTAATAACAATAACCGATATGTTAGAAATGTTGCATGCCTGCTAATGTGATGCTGTTAACAAATAAAAGTATAACCACTGCATCCAAATTATAGAATTCACTGGTTCATTTTGATGTTGTCTGTGAAATTAACTTTTTTAATTGTAAATGTGCATTGGCCATGTGCTTTACTTTTTGTTAGTCACTTTCAGATAACAAGAGGGGTATGGTGATACCAGATAACTCAGCTTTAGCCCTGGCATTGCCAGTTAACTGATTGTGTCACTTTGAGATGACCCTGGTTTCCTCATCTTTAAGATAAAGGAGAAGGGAACAGAAAGAGATGGATTGCAGAGGGTGTTTTCGTTCCAAGAAATGCATTCATGGCTGAATTCAAATTTGAAAAAAATGAGACCTGATTTGGCAACCTGTTAATTATTTATTCAATTTGAAAAATGTAGAAAGAAGACTTGTTACCTGCTTTAAGCAAATGTACTCTTAAACTAACTTAAATTATAGAAATCATGTACACACTGACATATGTATAATGCACGAAGCCAACTTTTCTAATATTTATTACCTATAGTACCAGAAATAAACATCAGTACATAAAATGTAAAGGGAGCTATGTAGTCATAGTGACTTATATATAGCCGAAACCCGATATATTAAACAAATCTGGAATTTTCAGCATTCATGCTATAAATCAAAATAAATGTGACAAAAGACCTTACCTGTAGGGGAGAGATAGTACAGAAACATGGCAGAGTTAATGAAAAATACCAACCTCCTCAGAGGAAGGAGCCTCAAACCCCTTCCCCACACAGGCTAATTACAAACTGTTTACTCTGACACTTAAGGATCTTCGCAGTGTAGCCCTGAACTTTTCTTCCTTTTTTCTCTTCTTGAACTCTGCTATAAATGAAACTGCTTGGTGTTCCCCAAACATACCCTTCACTTCACTTCTCTGCTTGTATTCTTTCCCTTCTCTAGAAATCTCCTAGACTTCTTCAAGATCTATACTTCAAGTGGAACCTTCCTTCTGGACTCCCAGCCTAAAATATCCTGACACATGACGACTCCTCAGTCTCCCTCGTCTTCTGAAATACAGATCACCCTTATACCTGTCATTCAATCCTTCCAGTTCTTCTAGCCCAATTTTCACCTCATATGTGCCACGTCTTTATGTATTATTTCCTCTCTAAAGCTTATCTCATATGATAATTATTTCAAGAATGAAAACTCTCTCCATAATCATAATCTACAACTATCTCCATGGAAGCATCTGTAGATATTAGGCCCCCTGGGATTATGTATGCAAATGTCTTCCAATCACTGGCACAAATTACGTGATTTGGTGGAAGAGCGGGAAGGCTGGTGGAAGTGGTACAATAGGGAGTAGTCCAGGAGAAAAGTGGGGTGAGCAGAATGAAAGTATATATTGATTACTTTTTCCCAAAGCAAATCCTGAAGGCTCATAAAAGAGAAGAAAAGCTCTCTAGCCCCATAGTTTCCCATGAAGTCATCCTCAATGATATGTACAATACTATTTATATTTTAATTACAGAAACTAGACATACTTTTAAAAAAGCAAACAAATATCAAAACTTGAATGTTAGTATATTTAGTACATTTTCTCTAAAAGCAGAAAATGCATTTCTTTAAAGAAAAACACATTAATTAATACCTGGAAAATAAAGGCACATATAAAGCATATCAGAAATAATTAAGGGGCACATCACAATACTAAGGATTGTATTAAAAGAGTAATAGCACACACTCAATTATTAAAGACACTGGGCTTGGAATCTGATGACATTTTTATCTTCTTCCCCTATGCATTGTTTCACTCATCATTAATATCTAATAAAATGGAATAAAGTTTTCCAAGTGCTGAAAATGCTTTTTCCAATCATCTTTGAATTTCCATGATCCAGGTCACTCTATTTCTCAGTGAAACATGATGCGGATTCCTACACAGGCTCACTTACAGGCTGAGGACACCCTGTTTATGCCAATTTCAGTCACGAACAAGTTGCATTCTGGTTTTACACTGAAAAATAATGGTCTTTATGAATTGCATGGAAAATGAAAAAGTCATACGAGAAGAAAATGACAACAAGAAATGTCCTCAAGAGAGTACATTTTACAAATTTGAATTAGAAAGGACCACAGAGCTTATTTACCACTTCCGAGCTCCCACTTATTTAAGAATGCCTTCTACTATTTTCCTGATCCGTGGGCAGTAAGCCTTAGCTTGCAAACCGCTAATGAAATGTTTCACGGTGAACAGCTGGAATTATGAGAAAATTCTTCCTTATAGTCTCCTAAATTCCAGTTTATTTTAGATTTGCCCTCTGCACTGATTTTAAAGAATTCTTCCTATTCTGCCTGGGCACTGTGGCTCATGTCTGTAATCCCAGCACTTTGGGAGGCAGAGGCGGGTGGATCACCTGAGGTCGGGAGTTCAAGACCAGCTTGGCCAACATGGCGAAACCCATCTCTACTAAAAATACAAAAATTAGTCGGTTGTGGACTGGGCGAGGTGGCTCACACCTGTAATCTCCACACTTTGGGAGGCCAAGGCAGGTGGATCACCTGACATCAGGAGTTCGAGACCAGCCTAACCAACATGGTGAAACCCCATCTCTACTAAAAATACAAAAATTAGCCGCGCGTGGTGGTGCATGCCTGTAATCCCCACTACTCAGAAGGCTGAGGCAGGAGAATCACTGACCCCGGGAGGCAGAGGTTGCAGTGAGCCAAAATTGCGCCACTGCACTCCAACCTGGGCAACAAGAGTAAAACTCCATCTCAAAAGAAAAAGAAAAAAAAAGATTTTTTCCTCTTCTATAATGATTTGCTTTGTGGTTAAGAATGCAAGCTTCAGAGCCACAGTGTAGACAGGAAGCACACGTCTGCTGCTGCTGCTCCCTAGCTAGTGACGTGGAGAAAGTCACTACATCCTTTTGAGCCCAACTGCACCTCTAAAATATATAAACAATAGGACACGCAATTGCTATGAAGATTAAAAGCACTTAGCCAGTGCCTAGCACAACACAAATAAATATATGTTAAATAAAGAGTGTCTATACAATGACATCCTCTAAGTGATGCATTCTCAGTCCTGTCGGCTATGAACTATCACATGGCATGATTCAGATCCCTCGCATCGGTCACAGTCTAGCTTGGTGATACCCATTTTAGGAGCCAATACTGCATGAAACAAACTGAGCATAGTCAGATCAGCATATGGTAGAGCGTACCAGATGGCTACAGACATTTAAGGGCTCTAGGCAGCTTTGGACCCTTTAGGAGTGTTCAGGGGTCCTCCACTTAGAGCATCGTGGAGTAAAGACTGAAAGTCTGGAAGCTGCCTCAGCCCTGACTGAGGAGGTGCTGAGCATGGAAATAAGGAAGTCGGAGAATAGACAGTAGAATTCATAGTAAACTAGACACCGCTTAACTCTTAACTCCCAGAAGAACCAGGACAGCTGTGAAGGCTAGAGCTACAGCTCTGGCAATCTTCAGGGAAAATATTTCCAGTGACCTTAACCAGGATGCATGAATTGGGGAGATCTGGGGTGGAGAGGAGGGGGACGTATTAATAGCAGTGAGTCATGTGTTGACTCTTTCATACACTAGGCACTGAGAAGATTTGCAATTAAAAAAAATTTTAAAAGCAGCTGGAGTGGTGGATCATGCCTGTAATCCCAGCACTTTGGGAGGCCTGGGTGACAGAGCGAGACTCCATCTCAAAACACAAATGAGCAAACAAACAAACAAAAACCTTGCAAAGTGTATAACTTTGTAATCTATTTCAGACCATAAAATGGCCCGTAGTAAAAAATGCAATTGAATACTTTCATTTCCTAAGCATAGGGCATTTTTTCTAATTTAATTGATTCTCACTATCCAAGAGGATAACCAGTAGCCACATTTGGTAAATTGTTTAAAGTAATGTAATTAACGTTAAAATTGAGTTAATTATACTAGGCACATACCAAGTGCTCCGTATTGGTCAGCACAGATGTAGAATATTTCCATCATCACAGAAAGTTATATCGGGCAGAGCTGCTCTGCAGTGATAGTGCCTATTAGTTACAGCCTTTATTAATAGCCCGTTAATAAATGACCAGTGTTGGAATGTGTGCATCAATTATTGCATACTGAGCACCAATTTTAAATAAATGTCCCCCCCAAATATGGAGCAAAACGAACTCAAAGCAAACCTTGCAGCTAAACCTTCTTTCTCCTTCTCTAGTATCCAGTCGCCTTACTGATAAACTGTCATGGAGGAAAAGAAATGGGAACAGCAGATGTGTTCTGTCAGTGGATGTGATAAACTTTCAAGAGAAAAAGAACAGATGGAAAATGAACTTCATGATGTCTTTAAGGAGCAGTATTTTTTTTTTTTTTTTTTTTTTTTTGAGACAGAGTCTCACTCTGTCACCCAGCTTAGAGTGCAATGGTGCCCTGCAAGCTCTGCCTTCCAGGTTCAAGTGATTCTCCTGCCTCAGCCTCCCGAGTAGCTGGGATTACAGGTGTGCACCACCACGCTCGGCCTTTATATTTTTAGCAGAGACGGGGTTTCACCATGTTGGCCAGGCTGGTCTCAAACTCCTGACCTCAAGTGACCCACTCACCATGGCCTCCCAAAGTGCTAGGTTACAGGAATGAGCCACCGCACCCAAACAGAAGTGGTACTTTTCTGATATAAAGTATATTCTAGTGACTTCTGACTGTGAATAATGTTATCTTACACTTACCTCAGAAGGAATAAAAAGAAAACATGTTTTTAAAAATTAGGATCATGAAGAAATTTAATTATACATTTTCTGCCGAATAAAATAGAAACCATGCAGTTTGCCTCACACTGCCATTTCAAAGTACTCATAGATTTTTAACATGGATTTTCCTCTTGGAGGCTCTTCCTGAAATTCCCAATTTAAGAATATTTTGCAGCAAATTTAAAAGATGATGTTTCAAAGTAAATATAGTGGGATCCATTCTTTAAAACTGCTTTCTTAACTTCACAGAAAGTTGGAACTAGAAAGTATCTTAAGGACTATTTGATACACTGTTTTTCAAACTATTTTTAGAGATAAAGCCTTTTGTTCAAACAAAATCTCCTCTGGAATGGGGAGCAAAGAGAGAGAGGTAGAGCAAGAGCTACACTATAACTTAGTATAAAAGATACTAAGTAGGCTCAGTTGGTCCTGCCTGCTGCCCCCCAACACCCAGAGGCAAGGCCAGGGATCTAAACCAAAGCAATCCCAGGAGCCACAATATGTCACTTCCTGAGAACAGGCTGACCTGAGAACTGAGGGCAACTTCAGAGATCTATGAAGCAAACTTGATCTGCTATGGCAAGGCATGTTATAAAAGCCAGACAAAAATGTTAACATAGCTGCACAAAATACAGACTGTCTCACAAACTGACATTTATAACAGATCCCCTGCCCGATCGCTCCTGAAAACACAGCTTAATACAGTACAAAGATTGTGGTCCTTAGAACTAGATGGATTACCATGGATCCTGCCTCAAATACTCCCTTTTTTCACATATTTGATAACAAGGTAACTCTGTGTGTGTGTGTGTGTGTGTGTGTGTGTATATATATATCATGTGTATATGATATAATTGTACACATATCAATTATATATGTGTACATTTCTATATATATCATTTATATGTGTACCTATCTATATATATAATGTGTGTATATAGACTATATATGTACATTTCAATATATACACAATGTATATATGGTATATATGCATATATATCATATACATGTGTATCATATGTGTATATATATCTGTGTAAATATATATTGATATATACATATATACACATTTATACATTGTGTATATATTGAAATGTACATATATACATTGTCTACATACATACATTTTGTGTGTGTGTGTGTATATATATCTCAATAATGTGCCTAGAACAATAAATATTGGTTTCCTTTCACTTTCTGAACAACTTTGTCATAATATATAACCCATTTCTTCTAACAATAGAGTGAATTATTTTCCTAGTATGTTTTCATAAAGGGTATAAGCCCAAGAGATTAATTTGCATATTAAAATATGCAAAAACTAAGGAGAGATGTGTTTCCTTATTGTTTTCAGGTGGAAAAACACCACCCACGTTGAAAATACAGGAGACAGAATTTAGTACCTAGGAGAGCTGTTAGTACTTTGTTCCTTTTCTCTTGTAATTTATCTGAACATTTACAACCGCTCAAGGTAACCGAAGAACACAAATCAGACCCAGTCCCACCAGGAAACGGAAAACACACACACACACACACACACAGGCACACACCCCTTCATAGTCTTTTTTCTGCATTGCTACATCATCGGAACCGATAAACTAAAACCCAGAGAAAATTCAAAGACAAAGACTTTTAATTTTACCCTACTTAGGTACTAGTTTAGGTAGACAACAGTATCACTTCGAATTGTTCTCATATGATTTAATAATGACAAATATAACTAAAATGTAATAACACTTTCATAGTACTGCCATGACTGTATCTATTCACTCTGTAAGAAAAAAAACTTTGTATTATTTAAAATTATTAAAAAGTTTCTTAACAGTTTCAAAGTCACTTATGTAAGCATATTACAGCATACAAGCACATTTTATATTTCAAACTTTCTCCTCTAGCCTCATGTTGTAGAGGTTATCAACCTTTACTTTAGAGAGTTAAACTTATTCCTGCAGATCAGGACTAAAATGTTTTATTTCCATCTAAGGTAATTACTGCTAAGTTAAAATATATAAATCTTCCAATGGGATTGGTGCTATGTTTAGTCACTCAGAGAATACTGGCTGACGAAAATAGACCACATTCCAAAAGACAGAAAAAGTATGTTTGACTAATAAAAAAATGTCAATGACTTGTATGTTTCAAATAACTTTATTAATGTTTAAAATGTTTATTAACCCATTTTAGACCTATCAGCTTTTCTTTTTTAATATTCACTTTTTTACAAATAAAAAGTAGAAAACTTCACGTCATTTGCTCAAAGTCACATAAGTTAACGTTCTGCAGGTTAACAGATTTATTTACAAATCACATGACCACATTTTTAAAAGAAGGGAATTTAGACGATAACACTAGTTTTTTGAGGAAAAAATAGGCTGGAAGTCATCAAATAAAAATGAAAGGGGGTTAGTATATATTTTGAGGAAGAATTTCATATTAGGAGTTCGACAGGATTCTGGTTAGGAAAGAATGTCAGGAATCTGCATGTCTTTTTTTTTTTTTTTTTTCCTCCTTTCATTTTAGGACCAAATCCTAGAATAGGCTGAAAAAAGAATGCAAAAAACAGCATTATTTATATATCTTTGTAGAGTTCACAGTTTTAAAATTGAAAAGCAGTTTTATCATATTACTAATTCCCTAGAGATATGAGGCATTATTATTTGGAAAATAAATTTTTGATTATCACCTACAGTGAAAGGAACTTAATAAACAAACATTGGAAAAGTCCGAAGTACTGAAAGCTCACTGTAACTGCAAGAGTCTCTCTTCTGACCATTTTTTTTTCTTTTTTGCTAATAGAAAATATGCATGCAGTGATCTCAGCTCACTGCAACCTCCACCTCCTGGGTTCAAGTGATTCTCCTGCCTCAGCCTCCTGAGTAGCTGTGACTATAGGCATGCACCACCACACCTGGCTAATTTTTGCATTTTTGGTAGAGACGGGGTTTCATCATGTTGGCCAGACTGGCCTTGAACTCCTGACCTCAAATGATCTGCCTTTCTTGGCCTCCCAAAGTGCTGTGATTACAGGTGTGAGCCACCGTGCCCGACCATAGCTAGTATTTTGAGGTTTCTCCCCCATAGTCTTTGAACTAATTGTATTTTACCCAGATCAGAATCTTATTGCATATATGTTTTATACCTTGCTCTTTTTCACCTAATATGTTATCATTATCAGTTCTGTACTTCATTAAACACATCAGAGATATACACCCTTTTTAAATGCTGACTTTATTTTTCTGAATTTTAAAAATAATACATGCTAATTTCCAGGGGTAAAACAAATTACAAAAATATACAAAAATTAAAGGCACTTTCTTCTGTTAACCTTGATTCCATCCTCCCCCTTAAAAAAAATTTTTTTTAAGCTTGTTGAATGTCTTTTAATAAAGATGTTCATCTCCAAAACTATGACAAGGCAGTCACAGACATTTTTGACATAAGCTCACAGCTGTACACATATGTTTATGTGGGAGTTCTTATATTTAAAAATATTTATGCCTGAAGTGCAAAAAATAATAATTTAAACAAAATACATAATACATTTTGTTTAATTTGTCTTAAGACTGATGTATTTTAATATACATGGGAATCTGGAATCATCTTACAACTGAGAAAAGTTAACAGTTAACTTCCTCTGAACATTACATTTTAAACACATTTTAGCTCCCAAAACAATATGTCAGGCCTCAGATAAGCACTCTTTCAAAATTCTACCCAGGAGGAAAATACTAAATATGGACGTTTCAAAAATAATTCGCCTTTAAAGCTCTATTTTGTGATTAGATCAGGTACCATGAAAGTCATAATTATAACCCTTGCGTGTGTAAAGCATCTTCTCCTTGGCTGCCTCAGCTCCTACAGGATGATGGTCTGTAAAGTCAGGGCATCCACAAAGTGATTTATTCCCCCTTTTACCTTTAATATGGTGCGAAAGATCACATTTTGGCCATTGCAGGGCGGGATCTCATGTCTACAGTCCCAGTGTTTTGGGAAGCCAGAACAGCAGGATCCCTTGAGGCCAGAAGTTAAACACCAGCCTTTAAACAAAACAAAAAAATTTAATTAGCCAGGTGTGGCCGTGCATGCCTGTAGTCCCAGGTACTCAGGAGGCTGAGGCAGGAGGATCATTTGACCCAAGGAGTTTGAGGCTGCAGTGAGCTATCATTGTACCACTGAACTCCAGCCTGGGTGACTAGTGAGACCTGTCTCTCAAAAAGAAAAAGGAAAAAAAAAATTTGGATATTTTGCCTAAGGTACCCAAACACTAGAAACATATTCCAAAGTGAAATTATACAGCAGTATAATGCAAATTTTTCGAAGGAAGGGGTACAGAAATAGTTACATAATTCTTACAACCTTATACTTATGCTGAAGGTATAAAAGAGTTGAAGATTCTTGAAGACAAAGAGAAGGTCTTTGGAGAAAATTATCAGCATGCTACAGGGGCTGTCTGCTTCTCCCCTCAAGCCTGAGACAAGGAGATCCAGAGAACCACCCAGAGAGTTTAAAATGTAACCCTATAACCTTTGAGTTTCGGGAGGCAAATTAATTCCCTTGGATAGATCTGAGCCATACAAGAAAGCAAGCTGTCTTAAGCCCTGTTTAAGGGGTCACCCGCAAGAAAAAAGGTGTCATGCAAAAAGGAACAAGGGGAATATCACTGAATGACTCCTAGGGGCTGTGGCAGCCGTCACAGAGAAGCAGAACACAAGTGCGCGTCTGCATGTCAGGGAGCTTTGAGAAAGAGAGAGAGAGACAAAGAGATAGAGACAGAAAGAGAGAGAGAGAGAGAGAGAGAACCCCAAGGAAGCACCTGCTAGAAAATGGGCCAGCTTTAAGCATATGCCAAACCTCGAGGTATAAACACCAGATCACCAATAGCCCTTGTCAAGTAAGAGTGTTCTTATCTCCTGCACCTCTTTCCCTCTGTGAGCTCTAACCCTGCAGTGGCAAGAAACCTTAGTTTGCAAAATAAGGAAGGAGGAAGGGAGGCACCCAAGTAGGGAGAGTGAGAAACCCAGGACTTCCCTTTCCTAAGGCACAGTCAAACCACGGGAGGGAGGACATTAACTCTCAGGCAAGGTTGAAACTTGGAAAATTACGTACATGTGAGCGTTGTAAATTACTATGATCACTTTTCTCATTAGAAGTGATCAAAGAATGGTTTGGTTTTAATAAATGACTGGAAAAGTCATAGGAGCTGCATGAATTTTCATTTGTAAAATGATCATTTATCAACTGCTCTCTTTTCTTATTCCTTCCTACCCTTGGTTTTTGGACACAGGTTCTTTACTCTCTTCTTTATGCCATAGATTAATAATATCATCAGCAACCATCAACGTTTGTTATTTACTCTAGGACAATCGATTATGTATTTTATATACATTTCTCATTTCATGCACATACAACTGTTCTTATCACCTCCATTTTTTATATCAAGAAAATGAGGCTATTCCAAGGTAGTATTATTAGTAAGCAGAGGAGCTGAGAAATTTTGCTTGGCTACTCTGACTCCCGAGTCCCACTTTTTTCCCTGAAAGAATGAATGAAATGTGAAATATATTTTCTCAGGTCAAAGGATACGAAGTATCAAACTTGCCTTTTTTTTTTTTTTTTTTTCTTCTTCTTCTTTTTCTTTTTGAGACAGAGTCTCCCTGTGTCGCCCAGGCTGGAGTGCAGTGGCGCGATCTCGGCTCACTGCAAACTCTGCCTCCCGGGTTCACGCCATTCTCCTGCTTCAGCCTCCCAAGTAGCTGGGACTACAGGTGCCCGCCACCACGTCTGGCTAATTTTGTTTTTGTATTTTTTTAGTAGAGACAGGGTTTCACCATGTTAGCCAGGATGGTCTCAATCTCCTGACCTCGTGATCCGCCTGCCTCGGCCTCCCAAAGTGCTGGGATAACAGGTGTGAGTCACCCGGGCCATTTTTTTTAAAAAAAAAACAAACAGGGTCTTGCTCCGTCTTCCAGATTGGAGTGAAGTGGCATGATCACAGCTTATTGCTTACTGCAGCCTAGTCCTCCAGGGCTTACCTGATCCTCCCACCTCAGCCTCCTGAGTGGCTGGTACTACAGCATGCAACACCATGCCCAGCTGAGTTTTAAAAATTTTTCATAGAGATGGGTTCTCGCTATGTTGTCCAGGCTGGTCTTGAATTCCTGGGCTCAGGTGATCCTCCCACTTCAGCCTCTTGAAGTGCTGAAATTATAGGCATGAGCCACCAGACTTGCTTTCTTTAATAAAACAGAGCTCTCAAAAAATGGATCTCCCCCATTTCATGAGAAAATTGAAACATTCCACTGAAGGAGAATTGACAGAAAAGTAAACATAGCTACTTTTTGTAATCAGAAAACTTGCTGATGTATGCTCTTATTCCAAATCCCTGGATGATGTCATTACGTCAACAATCCTTTAGGATTCCTCAACCCAGACATAAAATAACAATCACAGTACTAGCATATCCAAAAATGGTATTGCTTTATTTTTAAAAACTATATTTCCACATTTTTTTGGAAAATCAATTGAATCAATTTTATTCTCACAACAATCCTGTGAGTAGACATTATTAAAACTATATATTTGTTGAGGAAACAGATTAAAAGCTTTAAACGTGTGATTCATTTAAAATCATATAGTGGTGAATACATGATAGAGTCAGCACTAAAAAGGCAGATATATCAAAGAGAGACTGAAATAAGCAACTCATTTTTGGTATCAACTTGGAAACACCTCTTTACCACCAGTGTTTACATTAATCATTCTTGATCTTTATACTTCACATTTCTTGGTCATCCAAATGCTTCATAAATGATCTTACACATCCTGAATCTCTCGCTTCATTCAATGAGATAATTCACGGTGAGCAGGAATGCATATGGTTTTCAGATGTAGAAACTGGGATGTCCAGAGACAAACAAGTTGGCCATGGCAATGGGATACAAGAATCTTAGAGGATTTTACAAACCTGATTTGAAGTTTTGTCCTAATATGGAAAGGTATGCCTTTTCTCACTAGTGAGATTATTCTAGAATTTTAGAACCATACCAATATATTTCACAGTAACCTAGTGATCTAGATTGCCCCTCTCTGAGAAAGCAAATATTCTGCAAGCAATTTTGCTACAAATCAAATTCCTCACTTTTACAAATTGCTTCTTTTTTGAATTCCAAAATTTAACTCATTCTTTTCTATTTATTCTTCATTTCCTCATAAGTGAACACTCATCAATTTCCCCATTTTCCAACCCTTTACTTTTCATATTCTACGTGGCCACAGACAGTAACAATTCACTAGCACAGTGGTTCTCAGAATCATCTAGTAAGTCTTGTAAAAACACAAATTGCTGGACCCCATGAACTCCCCAAATTTCAGATTCAGTTGGTCTAAAGTAGAGCCTAACAGTTGGAATTTCTAACAAATTCTCAGGTGATGTTGATGCTATAGGTCTGAGTAGCACATTTTGAAAATCACTTCACTAGTGCATCCCTGATGTGTTGTCTTGATGGATCCTTCCAGAAAAGTGTTCAGATGCCAAGGCTCATGAATCGCACACATGGTACCCAATGCCTGGGCCTCACATTGAAGGCTTCTATATGGAGAAGAAAAGAAATATTTGTCATGACTCATTGCCTTTTTCAAGCTGTTCCAGCTACAAAATTAAAACCAGAAAAGGGGACTCAATTGAAAGCAAAATAAAAACAGCTCAAGTAACACTGTCCAAATTTTGAGATTTATGGCATGATTTCTGGAATTAGGACAAAAGGTATACTAGTGATTCAGGTAAGTCCTGGGCTGACCACACTGTAAGCTGGCATTTCCAAGGCTCCCAGCATACCCTGGAACCCAAGCCATATTGTTCCTGCACTACCTCAGAAGCCAGCTCAGGTCCTTGGCTGGTGGCTTGCTTTTTCTGTCAACAGTAAGTTCTTCCATATAGCTCTCCAAACACATTAGCAACCTATAACTCTTTTAATTAACTAATTTTTCTACAACTTCTCAGCTATTTTTAACACAGAAAAATATGTCAATTGTCAAGAAATAAATGCTGTTGGGCCATCAAGCAGGTAGGCTGTAAATCTGAACCAAGAACCTAGCCAATGAATTTCCTTAGGATTTCTTCTTTTTGTAATAGCAACCCTCGGTGGAGATTTTAATTCCATTTTTCATATATTTGGGGAAAAAAATAAGGCATTTTATGTCATAGTATAAAATTCTTCAGCATTCCATTTTAGTTATTAAATAATGACTAGTATTTGAAACAGCACTGTTACATTAAGTAAAAAACAATTGGCAAGCAATGTCAACTTAGACATTTCATAAGATATGTAATAAGATAATATTTCTGCTTAGAAAATAAAGTGTTAGATCTACCTCTAACATATCAATATATTGTAGGAAATACTGACCTTTTATTCTGATCACCACGATTCCATTAAATTTCAAAATGTGGGACAGCCAATGCATGATATACTACTAAGTAATAAATCTATGTCATCCAAAGGGAGTTTTGATGTCTGAGCCCAAAACGGAGAAAACAGAAGCATAATGGTAAGGTTACTGAACACCCAGGTCTTGAAATAAGTCATTCTGTATGAGCATGAGTCACCAAAACTACTTCCTTAGTGATAAAAGTTGCCTAAGTAACATCGATGCCTCCCTGTGCTAAGAAGGATATGGGCAGTGTGTTGGGTTTCAAACCCACTAGTCATAGTCATTTCCTTTACTTAATTGCTAACTGTCCTTCCCAGCTGCAGTTTGGGGCCTGTGTTTTAGGTAGTAACCCAGCAACTAGTTATTATGCTATATTTTATCAAGGAGAACAAAACAGTAAACTTTGCATTTCCATGGATTTCAGAGTAAAAGTCAATGTTATTTCACCAAGGCCCTCTGACTTAAGGGAGTTATTGTGAAACTATTCAACTAGGTCTCAATGTGGCCACATCATTATGCAAGACTTAAAGGCAAAATGATTTAACAGAGAAAAGAGGAGCAGATTGGGAGCCCTCTGAGAGGAAGGGAGCGGTGGTATTCATTTCTGTG